TTTATGTCAGGGGACCTCTTTAAATTATCCACTTCCTTAAAGTTTTCCCTCTGGGCAGATAAGCTATTTAAAGTTTCCCTTCCCAGACTACCCTCCTGAACCTGTAGGGGGCCTAATTCAACTGCAGCTTTTTCCTCAGCTGTGTCTACCACATCATTATATTTACAATTTACCAGTGCATCGCACTTTTCCTCATCAACATTTACACGGGTCTTGCATTTTTCCTCCTGGCCAGAAACATCCACACCTTTGTCAGAATTAATTTCAAAGTTTGGCAGGGCAGTGTCTGGAGACCAAGTGCACAGCGTGGAGTGGTTGTCTCCCATGGCAACGTCGCTATCCACCAGCTCCACTGGCACATGTACGTCTTCCAGCAACTGTCCTGACACCTGACGGTCATAACACAATTCCACATTTGGTTTACTGACCCCAATCACTTGATTTGTGCCATCTGACACTTCCACCAACACTGGCTCATTTGGTATCACACTATTTGATCCTACACCATTGGATCCTTTGTGGGTTGTGGGCACGATCTCTGCTATGTGCTCAATCTCACTTGGCCCGCCCATATTGGGAGGGAGACCATCTGCAGCAACAGCAAGTGTGCCCTTGTCTATAAGCTGATCTGCCGTCCCTCCATTTAGCACAGTAGAAGTCATGTCCACTCCACTGTTGGAAGCAGAGGTCCCTTTTAACAAAGCCAACAGGTTTTCAGCCCATCTGTCCCAGTCTACTTTCTCTGCGCTCCAATCAGAGGTACTACGCAGTACCGCACCAACTGCCGGAGGAGACACAGGACAGAGTGGCTCAGCAGACACATCACATATATCACTTTTGTTCAACCAAAACTGTGGCACTAACTTTTTAACCTCAACAGGTTGCAATACCACACCCTCACCACCGTACTCTGATGGCGCTTCATTCACCTCATGAACACTTCCATACCTATGGTCATTACTGACAGACTCCATTAACCCATTATCACCAGGAGCATTTTCAAAAATTCCAGTTTTAGCATTTAAATTATCAAGTACTCTCTTGTCCAGAGCAGCACCATAGTTGTCCAAGGCAACCTCTGGCTCCAACACACAGAGCTCCCAGGAGGTTTCCATGGACACCTTTGCAGCCTTGGATACTGTTGCCAAGGGCAACAACATATCTTCAATCATATTCATATAAACACTATTATCTTTAGTGAGCTGTGCTAGCTCATCACCAACCATAACATTATATTTACCAACAGTAACACTTTTGTCGGCATGACCATCAGCATTCTCATTGCATATAGACATCACTGTAGCTCCATAGCTGACCTGGGAAATCCTCTGCTCCGTCACTGCGGGCTCCTGGGAGGTTTCCCTGGGCATCTCTGCAGCACCTATCACTAGGGAACACGGTGCCATGGCAGTTTTGGTCACCCCTAGGTTACCATCCCCAGCCTTCTGCTGGATTATAGCAGGCACCTGCAGAGTCCCCATGTCCTTTTCCATATTTAGTCCTGCTAATCGTTGGGCTGTTCCCTGTGCCTCCCCACTACTCAGGGTAGCACACAGCAGCCAGTCCATGTCCATCTGTATTGTGGAACTCCCTGAAGGACACACCCTCACTTCCTTGGACTCAGTCCCACAAACAGTCTTACCATTTCCTGAAGCAGGTGTCATAGCCTTCACTTGAGTGCGTAGTCTCACCTCTGCTTGGCTTTGGCCACCCAGTTCATCCATGCAGCTATAGGATGATACCGTGGCAGGCACTTCTGACTCCTTGGCACCCCCTGCAGGCACAACAGGTACTTTTTCACTGTTGCCATAGGTGGCTGCCAACATTTTTAAAAACGAATCTGGGCTTGCAGATGAAGACTTTTGCTCAGTAGCACCCTCATCAGTGGTATTCCATAATCTGGGGCAGGAAAAGATACCATGCCCAAACTGACCACATTCCAGGCAGGGTATTACCTTCTTGGGATACGGAACGACATCTCCCTTGTAGCCCCTTCTCCTGGTTGGCAGGCTTTCTCCTGTTGCTATGGGAGATGGCACTCTCCCAGCTGAACTTTGTGGGTTCCTCCAGATGCGCTGAACTCTCATTTCTGCGTTGTCACAATCCTCTGCAGACGACACTCCTCTTACAGGGTCCGCAGGCCTGAAGTCACATGTGTTGCTATGGGCAACCACATTCTTCTCAAACTTGTGGTCAGGCTGTCGCTCCTTCCTTGCACTCAGAGCCGGCTTGCCTAACACAGATGCAGTCCTTTGCTTTGATATGCAACTTTGCAATGGAGGCTGACACAAAGGGCATTTAGAGACAGTGTGCCCCCACTCCCTGCACCGCAAGCATCGCTCTTGCCAACGTGTCTTGTCCAGGCTCCCCACATTGCAGCCTTTTTCCAGCTTAGGACTCTGCACATTCATAGCTGGTCTCCTTTCACCAGTGTTGCCAGCAGCAACAACATGCACTTCCCATTTTGGCAAACTTTGTTCATTTATGTATGGGGCTTGTTCTGGGGATAACAACCCCTCCAGCCACAGGGCTCGGTCTCTCATATCAGCAAATCTTTCTTCTTTTCTTTGCTTTGACCGCCTCATCTTCACAGTCACTTCACAACACTTTTGCACAGTCCAACAACCAAGAAATGAAGCACTGTCTCTTTAAGGCAGGTTCTCCTCACCTGCACACACACAAATTGTGCTGTCCAATGCACATAAACACAGTTCATATAACTGATGAACTTACTTTTGCAGGGATCTCCAATTATGCCCACTGCATCCTCCACCATATGTGGGAACTCGCTTCAACGTGGTAGAGCTTTGAAACGCGCAAACACAGCTACTCGCTTTCTTTTTCAGGGCCTTTTTAGCCCACTTTTATTTAAATGAAAGTTCAAACATAATGCTTCCCACGCAGGGGTATCCACCAACAAAAACAAAGATTCAGCCTCCTGGCTTACACACAGTTCAATGTCTGTCTCCTGCAGACTCTTCCCAAATTATATGGCACTTGCACACCGCTGGCCTCTAGCACACAGCTAGTCTCTAGCAGCCCCTTGCTGCTTTTGGCTTCCACCTCTCCTAGGTGAAGCCCACCTGACTCCTAGCTGCCGGGGTGGAGCCCTGCTGACTCCTAGCTGCCGGGGTGGAGCCCAGAATCATGGCCTGGCCTCCACTAAAAGGCCTGCACACACCTGTGCAATCAGCACGCTGGCTGCTCCCAAAATATGGGCCCAGGATTGGAGATTTCATCCCTCCCAAATCTCTAAGAAATCTCCAGGCTACAGGTCCCAAAACAGGCTTTACAAACCAAAGAGGAAACTTATAAATCAGTTTCCTCTGCATTGTGAGAACTGCCTGGAGCCCCTCAACCTGTATAGTTGAGAATCCTGGGTCTCCATGATGATTTCCACCATGGCAGGATACCGCACTGCCACAATATATACACACACACGCTATATTGCCAAAAGTATTGGGACACCCCTCCAAATCATTGGATTCAGGTGTTCCAATCACCTCCATGAATAAAACCAATCACCTAGGCATGCAGACTGCTTCTACAAATATTTGTGGAAGAATGGGTCGCTCTCAGGAGCTCAGGGAATTTAAGCATGGTACCGTGATAGGTTGCCACCTGTGAAATAAGTCCATCCGTGAAGTTTCCTTGCTACTAAATATTCCACAGTCAACTGTTATTGGTAATATAACAAAGTGGAAGTGGAAATCACAGAGGGAGGTCAGTGCATGCTGAAATGCACAGTGCACAGAAGTCGCCAGCTGACTTCGTGATTAGCACAACAACAGTGCATAGAGAGCTTCATGGAATAGGTTTCCATGGGCGAGAAGCTGTTTCCAAGCCTCACATCACCAAGTGCAATACAAAGCGTTGGATACAGTGGTGTAAAGCACACCGCCTCTGGACTCTAGAGCAGTGGAGACGTGTTCTTTGGAGTAACAAATCACACTTCGCTGTCTGGCAATCCGATGGACGCGTCTGTGTTTGGCGGTTTCCAGGAGAACAGTACTTGCCTTACATTGTGCCAAGTGTAAAGTTTTGTGGAGGGGGGATTATGGTGTGGGGTTGTTTTCAGGGGTTGGGCTTGGCCTCTTAGTTCCAGTGAAGGAAACTCTTAAGGCCTTATCATACCAGGACATATTGGACGATTTCATGCTGTCAGTAGCACCTTTAGAAATATATTTACGTAGAAAAATGGGGACGTGTTCAATACTTATTTTATCTGATATATATACACTATATTGCCAAAATTATTCGAACGCTTGCCTTTTCATGTACTTTAATGGCATCCCAGTCTTAGTCCATAGGGTTCAATATTGAGTTGGCCCACTCTTTGCAGCTATAACAGCTTCAACTCTTCTGGGAAGGCTGTCCACAAGGTTTAGGAGTGTGTCTATGGGAATGTTTGACTATTCTTCCAGAAGCGCATTTGTGAGGTCAGGCACTGATGTTGGACTAGAAGGCCTGACTTGCAGTCTCCACTCTAATTCATCCCAAAGGTGTTCTGTTGGGTTGAGGTCAGGACTATGTGCAGGCCAGTCAGGTTCCTCCACCCCAACCTTGCTCATCCATCCATGTTTATGGACCTTGCTTTGTGCACTGGTGCGCAGCTATGTTGGAACAGGAAGGGGCCATCCCCAAACTGTTCCCACGAAGTTGGGAGCATGAAATTGTACAAAATGTCTTGGTATGCTGACACCTTAAGAGTTCCCTTCACTGGAACTAAGGGGCCAAGCCCAACCCCTGAAAAGCAACCCCACACCATAATTCCCCCCCACCAAATCTTACACTTGGCACAATGCAGTCAGGCAAATACCATTCTCCTGGCAACCGCCAAATTCAGACACGTCCATCAGACTGCCAGACAGAGAAATGTCATTCATCGCTCCAGAGAACATGTCTCTACTGCTCTAGAGTCCAGTGGCTGTGTGCTTTACACCACTGTATCTGACTCTTTGCATTGCACTTGTTGATGTAAGGCTTGGATGCAGCTGCTCTTGGCCATGGAAACCTATTCCATGAAGCTCTCTACGCACTGTTGTTATGCTAATCTGAAAGCCACACAAAGTTTGGAGGTCTTTAGCTATTGACTCCGCAGACAGTTGGCGAGTTCTGCATTTCAGCATGCACTGACCCCGCTGTGTCATTTTATGTGGCCTACCACTTTGTGGCTGAGTTGCTGTTGTTCCCAGTTGCTTCCATTTTGTTATAATACCACTAACAGTTGACCGTGGAATATTTGGTAACCAGGACGTTTCACGGATGGACTTATTGCACAGGTGGCAACCTATCATGTACCATGCTTGAATTCACTGAGCTCCTGAGAGTGACCCATTCTTTCACAATTGTTTGTAGAAGAAAGCCTGCATGCCCAAGTACTTGATTTTATATATCTGTGGCTATGGAGGTGATTGGAACACCTGGATCCAATGATTTGGAGGGGTGTCCCAATACTTTTGACAATATAGTGTATATATATATATATATATATATATACAGTTATGTTCAAAATAATAGCAGTCAGACATCACTAACCTGATCAATCACTGTTTTTGGTAGAAGTGACATTTCTACATGGCAGTGAATTTACTAGCAAGTGTAGTAGAGTAATAGAAATTCAACAGACCCAACAGTCATGACATGAATGCTGCTGATTCTGTGTAATTGAATCACTAATTGAAAGGGGCATGTTCAAAATCATAGCAGTGTGGAGTTCTATTAGTGAGGTCACTCATTCTTTGAAAAACAGGTGGCAATTATTGCCCTTATTTAAGGAAGGAAGGCAGCAAATGTTGTACATGCTGGTTACAGTGCATTTCTCTCTGAAATTCTGAGGAAAATGGGTCGTTCCAGACATTGTTCAGAAGAACAGCGTACCTTGATTAAAAAGTTCATTGGAGAGGGGAAAAAAATATAAAGACATGCAGAAAATGTTAGGCTGCTCAGCTAAAATGAACGCAAATGCTTTAAAATGGCAACCAAAACCTGAAAGACGTGGAAGAAAACAAAAACTACCATTTGAATGGATAGAAGAATAGCATAAATGGCAAGGACTCAGCCAACAATCAGCTCCAGGAAGATCAAAGAAGGTCTAAAGTTACCTGTGAGTACTGTTACAATTAGAAGACGCCTATGTGAAGCCAAGCTATCTGCAAGAAGCCCCCGCAAAGTCCCACTGTTGAAAAAAAGACGTGCTGAAGAGGTTACAATTTGCCAAAGAGCACATTGACTGGCCTAAAGAGAAATGGCGCAACATTTTGTGGACTGATGAAAGTAAGATTGTTCTTTTTGGGTCTAGTGGCCGGAGACAGTTTGTCAGACGACCCCCAAACACTGAATTCAAGCCAGAGTACCCAGTGAAGACAGTGAAGCATGGTTGCGCAAGCATCATGATATGGGGATGTTTTCTCATACTAAGGTGTTGGGCCTATTTATCGCATAGCAGGGATCATGACTACTTGAAGAGGTCATGCTGCCTTATGCTGAAGAGGAAATGCCCTTGAAATGGGTGTTCCAACAAGACAACAACCCCAAACACACCAGTAAACGTGCAACATCTTGGTTCCAGACCAACAAGATTGACATTATGGAGTGGCCAGCCCAATCCCCGGATCTTAATCCAATAGAAAACTTGTGGGGTGACATCAAAAATGCAGTTTCTGAGGCAAAACCAAGAAATAGAGAAGAACTGTGGAATGTAGTCCAATCATCCTGGGCTGGAATACCTGTTCACAGGTGCCAGAAGTTGGTTGACTCCATGCTACACAGATGTACAGCAGTTCTCAGAAACAGTGCTTATACAACTAAATATTAATTAAGTGATTCAAAGGAAAGCAAAATCTTCAAACATTTTTCAGTTTATATAGTGAATGTTTGAGTATGTAAAGAAGAATATTATTATTATTATTATTATTATTATACAGTATTTATAAAGCGCCAATAGTTCGCTCAGCGCTGTACATTACAAAGGGGGACAGAACATGTGACAGAACAATACCAATACAATGCAAAACATGAGGGGATCGAGGGCCCTGCTCTTTCAAGCTTACAATCTAGGAGGGAGGGGATGGTGGCACAGGAGGAGATAGCTGTGGGGGATGGAGTGGTAGGAAGAGTGGAGGAGGTCGGCAAGTTAAAAGGGGGCGGGGTAGGCTTCCCTGAAGAGATGGGTTTTCAGGGTGCGCCTAAAGGAGAGGAGAGTAGGTGATAATCTGATGGGTTGGGGCAGGGAGTTCCAGAGGATGGGTGACACCCTGGAGAAGTCCTGGAGGCGGGCATGGGAGGAGGAGACCAGGGAACTAGAGAGAAGGAGGTCTTGTGAGGAGCGGAGTGTGCGTGCTGGACGGTACTTGGATATTAGGTCAGTGATGTAGTTCGGGGCAGTATGGTGGACAGCTTTGTACGTCAGCGTTAGGATTTTGAATTTGATCCGTTGCGCAATCGGAAGCCAGTGGAGGGATTGGCAGAGGGGGGTGGCGGAAACGGAGCGGTTGGAAAGGTGAATGAGTCTGGCAGCCGTATTCAGGATGGACTGAAGCGGGATAGCCAGCGGCGAGGCAGGCCAGTGAGGAGGAGGGAGTTGCAGTAGTCGAGTCGCGATATGATGAGGGAGTGGATGAGCTGTTTAGTGGTTTCTGGAGTTAGGAACGTGCGGATTTTGGCGATGTTGCGGAGGTGGAGTCTGCACAAGTTTGTTAAAGAGTGGACTTGGGGCTGGAAGGATAGGTTGGAGTCCAAAATGACACCAAGTACTCTGGCCTGCGGGGCGGGTTTGATGGTGGCGTTGTTGGACATGATGGAGAAGTCAATGGGGGGGGGTGGTGTCCGGGCTGGAGGGAAGACAAGAAACTCGGTTTTGGAGAGGTTCAGTTTAAGGAAGTGGAGCGACATCCAGTCTGATATGTCGCTCAACAGGTGTGTGATTCGGGCGGAGACCGACAAAATACAAAAACTGCTATTTTTTTTTGAACAGTCTAATATTCACTTTTCTTCAATCTTTTTAGAGGAACAGCACAAATTTGATATATTTTTCTTCATGTTTTGATTTGGAATAGAATGTGTAGTGTTCTCAATGCATTTGTGTGTATGGAAATAAAAGCTATTAGAAGGATTTTGAGCTTTATTCACTTTTTTCAACACACTGCTATTATTTTGAACATGACTGTATATATGTGTGTGTGTGTGTGTGTGTGTGTGTGTGTGTGTGTGTATAAAACACAAACAATATTAAGAACATTATAGTGGTTTAAACAGGAGGATTTGGTTTTGTGGTAGAAAATATCACACTACCAGTATGGAAAAGTTTAAGTCTCTTTAAAAAGTAGGTTGAGTTAGGTTTACTAGCCATGCTGGTATTTACTGGACATAAGCATTATTGATCCCATTTTTTCTGTGCCCAGTGATTTAAAACCACACGATAATGGCAGCATTTTACATATTACATTAGGAACCTGACTGAAAACTACAAAACAATACTGTATATCAATAAATAAGTGGAAAATTCTAATACATTCTTATAAAAAAAGAAATGTATTGGTACAAGAAGGAAGTTTTGACTTCAGTCAATGTGAGACTAACTAAAATTATTTGTGCAGCTTTGCTTGATTCTTTTATTAATAACTTGGTGTTCCTTCAAGCCATTCTTTATCCGTAGGGTCAAAGTGCAGGGAATAGAACACCTTTTGTTTTCATATTTGCAGAGAATTTAGTTGAAATTGGAAGTTTGGAATTCCTCTAATAACTTGCTTATCCTTCTTCTAAATACAATGTAATCTGTAAGCAGTAAGCTTTTAACACATTAGTGCAAATTAGATCATTTACACAAGCAATTATGGGTCATTTAGATTTTGAGCAATTTTTTAGGCAGGCTTCTAATAGGCATATGACAGGTAGAGTTTAAACATTCTTCAAACAGTTTTTTTCCAAGGTATACAGTTGAAAACATGGAATAATTTTGTGAAAACTAGGCATTGAGCATAATCAGCATTCCCTGACAATTCACAATAAATTCCTGGACTGTGTTTATAGTGTCAATAAACCCAAAGTGGCATTTTAGTTGGAGATAGTCCCCAGCTTTTTATATGTCCTGGATACTTCAAGAGTGAACTCTCCCTGCCCAACTCTCTTCCGGACTGCCTGGGATTTTTCTTTTCTTTATCCCCGGCTTTGTGTGCTCCAGTATTCCCAAAGACACTTAGAAGTTGATTTGCTGAGAGCCCATTCACACTGATCTGCAGCCCAAACCACTGCAGCATTTTGGGCTGCAGAGCAGTGCTTCATGGGCGCATCACACCACTGTTTTTTTAAATAAACTTTATTTGAAGTGTACAGACACGTCATTCATATCATTACACAGAAGCACTGTGCACTGCATTTCTTTGTGGTGAAATGCAGGACTAAGCAGAGTGGTGTGATATTATGCAAACATGTTGCATAATATCACTTTGCTCTGGAATGCAGTGTAACACAGTGTTCTGGTCAGAACTTGTTTTTTGTGTGTCATTGCAGTTCTTTGTGGAAAAATACAGGTAACTACACCTAGAGTGAATGCGTCTGGCTAAACTACTGGCTAAACTACTACTACTCATATGTTATTTGTTAAAAAAAAGCCTTTGATCATTAGATAAATAAATACACCGCGTGCACAATTATTAGGCAAGTTGTATTTTTGAGGATTAATTTCATTATTAAACAATTTCAGTGCTCTGGGTCAATCCAAAATGTTAATAAACTTCAAACCTGAATATTTAAGAAAGTAAAAGTGAGGTTTTGGATTTCTTAGGAGAATATCTATGTTTGCACAATTATTGGGCAACTATTAGAGTTCAGAATTAATATGCAACTAAATGAAAAACAAACATTTTCTCATCTCACTTGTTTATTTTCATCTGTTACAGTGAGAATAATAAACAAACAACTCAAAAATATACAAATAAACACTGACATTAAAAAAAAAATCAGTGACCAGTATAGCAACCCTTCTTTTCAATAACAGTCATAAGCCTTCCAATTCATGGAGTCTGTCAGTTTCTTGATCTGCTGACGGTTAACTTTTTGTGCAGCAGCAACCACAGCCTCCCAGATTCTGTTCAGAGAGGTGTACTGTTTTCCTTCCTTCATAAATCTCCCATTTAAGAAGGGGCCATAAGTTCTCAATAGGATTTAGGTCAGGTGAGGAAGGGGGCCATGTCATTATTCTTTCATCTTTAAGGCCTTTACTGGCTAACCGCACAGTGGAGTACTTTGATGCATGCGATGGAGCATTGTCCTGCATAAAAATCATGGTCTTCTTGAAAGATGCAGACTTTTTTCTGTACCACTGCTTGAAGAAAGTGTCTGCTAAAAACTGGCAGTAGTTTTGGGAGTTGAT